AGCCTTAGGGTTCAGGATTGAGAGTGCAGGGATCAGGGTGCACAAGGTTTGCGGGTTTGGGATATCCTATTCGTACTTAATCTTGCATGCTACACCTGCTTGCGCGATCGATGTCGCATCACAAATCCGTCGGCTAGGTGTCCATTGTAGCCCTGCAAGGCTAAGGTCTCAGTATTTCCGACGGGAAACTTTGAAAAAACAGTGTTCTTGATTCAGAAGGGTTGAATCCTCCTCTTTATCACTTTGGACGAATCGCATTTGTCGAACCCAGAGAATCAAACCCCACGCACCAGACTCACTCTCAACCCTAAAGACGTCAGCAACGAAAACCCACTACTAAGCCTTGCTTGGAGTGTCCGGGGTAGGTAGGTTAGTAACATTTACATATAGTAACCCTGGTTATCCCCTTTATGACGCTACTTACTAAGTCCCCCTGACTGAGCAGAGTGCTGTTCTGGAAATTGGACCCAAGACCTCTCTCACCCGAAGCGAGAATTATGCCACTAGACCAAACAGCTAGTGGTCTTCTGTTTCGGGTACTAGTTCTACATCGTATGCTCTGGTGCACCTGCGCCTTATCCCGCTCAGGCCAAGAATTGGAAGTTGGATTCCAGCTCAGATGGTGTTTTTATCCAGAATAGTAGACACGAGAGACTATAGGATATTACGGATATTAGTGGGTGATAGCTTGGGCTTTACCCTACTCACGGTGAATGGGGGAAACCTTCCACCACCCTACCTACCTGAGGATCCACACCACGTCGGGGATCCTAAATTCTGTCACCCTACAGCCTGAACCCTAAGCCCAAAGCAAGAAACTAAACCCTTAACGCTCAACCCTTAGCCAGCTGTTTCCCCAAACCTGCGCATGCTCCGTCTTGACCGCGTCCAGCTCAGAGGTCAGTTGGCTTGCACCTTGGATTTCGGAGCAGGCAGAATCTTAGTGGTACCTAACGGGCATTAGGGCAGGGAACATAAGCACGATTATGAGAAAATTTTCATGGACGGCACATGGATAGTGATATGCACCCGCTTCTCCACTTCCTTGTAAGCATGAGTAAGACAGGAGGAATTGTGTAGTTTCAGTGATGCACGCACCCACTAACAGTAATCACAAAGGGTCATGATCTCTGTAGAATCTCTTCTACCACCATCAGCGATTGGATGGGAAGCCAGCTAACGTGTGGCGTTCTGCTTGCGTGAGCTAAGGGCACAGCTTTCAAAAACTTTAGGGTTTGGGGCTTAAGTTGTAGGATTATATACATAACCCCCAGTTTCCATTAATTTTCCATTCTCTTTTCCATCTGATTCTCCGTTATATAGGTGCCCTTCATTTTCGGCAACCCCCCCAAATTATAGACTGCGGCTTCGGACGGTAGGGGCCAGCTGAAGGTACGGCTTCCAAAGTGCGGAAAACTGATGTATGCATGCGTCAAGCAAGTACAAGGGGTTTAGGGTTAAACCCTAAACCCTAAACCCTCAACAGCACTTTGAGGAAATCCTGAGACCTATGCAGTTGAATGATGCTAAGGGCAGGACTGGATCGAGTGTTACTATGAAAGAAAGGAGCAACTCATATGGGCTGATCAGGGGAAGTCCTATGCACTTTTCGGTTTAAGGTTTAGGATTTTGGGGTGTGCGGTTCTGGTGGGCATGTACCTTGACAGAAGCTCATATGTGGTTTTGTGTCCTTGTAAGAAATACAAATTGTTGAGATGCGTGTTGTAGGTAGGCCCTGCTGAATCTGACTATGGGGTTTTAAGCCACTACTTCACCTACTTCTGTGGTCCAGGCAGTGCTAAAGGGTCCAATGCCTACCTTGGAAGTAAATACAGGTTCCAACCTCCCTCCATGGTAAACCATGGGCTTACTTACGGGAATCTTAACCCAATGTATTTGGCACTTCTACCTCGTAAACCCCACCATTTTGGCATTAATCTAACCATCAGATAGGACAGAACCTCTGAGAAGGACACTTAGAAGCTACTTAGAAGGGAGCCTAGAGGTTACTTTCAGGGCTTAGCCTATCTGGGGATCCTTTGGTGACCTACCTGAATTCTAAAGCCTATGGTCCCCCTTACATAGATAGAATATGGCTTTAGGTCTAATATTATAATAAGATCCCGATATACCCCATAGTCTATCTACATAAAAGCCCTAAACCCTAAGCCCTAAACCTTAAACCCACAGCCAAGTCTCGATCTGTGGCTTCCTTCAGCAGGTTTTCTCTGGCTGCGTCGCCCGCTGACACGGCATGCTGGAGACGCGGGATGGTGGAGTTCCTGTTCTGGGGGGAATTTGGGGCCTTAAATGAATCCTACAGTAGGTTTAGGGGGTTTAGGCTTGAGAATGTAGCATGCGGGGATGAAGATTACTGTCGGAGCTTAGCCCCCCCAATTTAGAGAGGACCTTGTGATTGATCTCAGGGCTTTGGGCTAAGGGCCTAGAAGGAACATGAGTAGATGGACGTAATCCCCTGGCCCCTATCCATTCCCTGCTGATTACGCACCGTGGAGTTTAGGCTTCACACCTTGGGCTGCAGGTATGTAGGCTTTTCGGTATGGGGGCAGGCTTTAGCACCTTCGGTTGTATTTAGAAGCTAAAAAGGATGATAGACGATCAGCAGAGAGCCTTCAAGGAAACTCCCATGTTGGTTAGCCTCCGTGCCCTGCGAATGTTTCTCAATACTAGGGACATGCTCCACTACGTGAAGAGTTCTTGAGGAGTTGCAGGGTCCGTACGCACAGGGGTAAAGAGGTCTGTCTAGCGCCGGCACCCCGCATCAGCGCGCATTCGCGTGTAGAGTCATGGTAACCTCCAGCACACTTTAGGGCTTAGGGCTTTCCTTTTCTTAGCGTTTGGGGTTTGAGGTTTGGGGCATACAGGCTTTAGAGAAAACCTACTTCCCTGAGCCCCAAACACTGAACCTTAACAATACAAGCTCTATCAACCCGTGTTTTCCCCTGGGTCGTAAATCCTTACCAGAATCTATGGCCGGGGTTTGAATCCTAGAGGAAGTAAGGCTAAAATGATCTGTTAGCATGCTTTTGTAAGGCAACCGCTCTGCATACCTGATCCTCTTGTTGATGGAAGACATCATCTCTTCACCGTAAGTTCATAGGCAGTAGTAAGTGGTTCAAGATTTGGTTTATCAACCGCATTAACATATCATCCATAGTCTAAACTCCTAGTATCCCCACTAATAACCCCTATACTAATCCCCTATATTATGACCCTAAACCCTAAACCCTAAGACCCCTAAACACCCTAGACTCCAAGCCCTAAACTAGGCAAAAACTCACGAGCCAAGGTGCAGATAAATGACAGCAGCGGCGTGGGCGGCATCGGCTGCACGGCCATCCTGTTAGAGGTTAGGGTTTAGGGTTTATGGGATTTGTGGGAACTAGGGTTTAGGGTTAGGGTTCTTGGGAAGCAGGGTTTAGGGCGGTTGAAAGCAGAAAGGTTCCCTTGCTTGGAGGATCCGCGGAGCCTAATAAGCATACAAGTAACCATTGTAAGCCATGTCACATCTCCACTTATTAAACCTTAAAAACCTTCAACCCTCAACCCTAAACCACACCCTACTTCAAACAATTGTCCCTCAAAGTCCTGCTCTGCTGCAAGGTCCGATTGAAGCTTCTCCAGCTGAGAAGTCCTAGATGTTCGAAGCCAGTTGGGGTTCAGGACTTCAGGGTTTAGGGGTTTAGTCTTCTACACGGGTCAGGATTTCAGGGGCTCAGGGCTTCAAGATTAGAGAATGTAGGTGTCAAGGTGTAGGGCTGTAGTCTCTCAACCCTCTGGGGATTATGAATTTCGGCAACTTTGGGGACTTCGTTCTCAACAGAACGTACCTAGACGTTCCCCCAAACCTGTAGTAGGATCTTAGCTCAGGCCTACTTGGCTTTAGAATTTAGGGTTTAGGGGTTTAGGGTTTAGGGGTTTAGGGTTTAGGGTTGAGGGTTTAGGGTTTAGGGCAGGGACTTAGTAAAGGAGAATAACCCCCATACGCCACACATTTTCACCCATTTTCCCCATATTAACCTGAGCCCTACACCCCAAAACCTAAACCTATGTACGTATTTCCCATGCAAAAAATGGATACCTCATGTAGATACTGTGAAGCGCAAGCACTTTGCTCAGCTAAGGCAAAGGGTGTAGGATTTAGGCTTCAGGGGTCATCACCCCCCCCACCATGTGCGGGGCATCAGGCAAGTTGTAGGGGTTCCTCACTGCCATAAGGGTCCAAGTAATAATTACCCAATCTCATGTTCAGGCTTAATTTGAGGTAGCCTAGGCCTAAACCATAGTAATACAAGCAATCTAGCAGCGACCAGGATCCCAGGTAACCCAGGACTTAACGTGTCCCTCTTTTGAATATAACTGACTGTTATCCTGAACTTAGGGGCCCAAAAACCAAGAAGGGCTTAATCAACAGCCTGTAGATAAGGACTTGAATTGTTATGGGACTAGGCAGTGGACTTACCCCGCAGGAACCCTTGAAAGTGAAGCTGCTGAGCCTCCTGGGCGGCCCAGGAGAATTACTAAGTAGGTTATGCAGGGTTTCGTTTGCAGGCCAATCCCCAGTAAGCGACTTTATGACGTGGTCTACAAGCTACTTACTAGGTTCCTCAGGTATCTCCTCAGCTGATCCGTAAGTTCGCGGTACTTGATTGGGAACACGTTGTTCGCAGGCACGGGGGATTTGCCATGGCACCAGAATTCAGGATTTCGTGTTGTGGTGCAGGAACAAAGTCTGAAAGGCCCAGATAACAAACACCGCCTTGGCAACCCGTAGTGCAAGCGGATATGGATTAGAAGCGCTACGGCTCGGGCTGCTGCAAGGATTACAGTTGTGTTCAGTACCATTCTCCTAGTCCCTGCTGATTAGTGAGGACAAAGCCAGAAACTAACTTTACAAACCTCATCTAGGTACAGCAAACGCCCCGAAACCTGCAGCCACTTTAGACTCCCTATTGACGCCCAGCTTCGTGTCATCCAGCTGCTCGGACAAGTTGTTTGCTTTGTCCGTGGCCTCCTTGAGCAAGGTTTCTCTGGCGATGTCTCCGTCAGAGAGATCGGTCTGCAAACGATGGATGGTGGCATTCAATTCCTCGGCTACTGCAGCTGCCTTGGAAGCATCCGATGCCCTTCCCTCTTGCTCGGCTGCAAACTCTGCACGTAGCTGCTCCAGCTCTGAGGAGAAATTCTCCGCATCCTCCTTGCCCTTAGCCTCCAAGGAGTCACCCCTCTCTACGGCTGCGGAATGCTCTGCCTGCCATTTGGAGACCTGTTCTGTCAGCTCCTTAATTTTGGTCTGCGCATCCTTCTGTACGCTGGAGTGCGTCTCAGCTGCGCTGCTCGCACTTTCTAGCAGGCGCTTGATATATCGCTTGATTGTAGCATTGAGCTCCTCGGCATCTGCAGCTGCTTTGGAAGCATCCGACGCCCTACCCTCCTGCTCGGCTTCAAACTCCGCGGGTAGCTGCTCCCGCTGTGACGTGACGTTATCCACCTCTTCCTTGGCCTCCAAGGAGTCACCCCTCTCTACGGCCGCTGTATGCTCTGCCTGCCACTTGGAGAGCTGTTCTGTCAACTCCTCAATTTTGGTCAGCGCATCCTTCTGTTCGCTGGTGTGCGTCTCAGCTGCGGTGCTGGCACTTTCTTGCAGGCGCTTGATTGTAGCATTGAGCTCCTCGGCATCTGCAGCTGCTTTGGAAGCATCCGACGCCCTACCCTCTTGCTCGGCCGCAAGCTCTGCGCGTAGCTGCTCCAGCTCTGAGGAGAAATTCTCCGCATCTTCCTTGCCCTCTGCCTCCAAGGAGTCACCCCTCTCCACGGCCGCTGAATGCTCTGCCTGCCGCGTGGAGACCTGTTGTGTCAGCTCCTCAGCTTTGGTCAGCGCATCTTTCTGCTCCGTGGAGCGAGCCTCATGATCAGTTGCGCTCAAACCTAGACCTGGGCCCGAGCCCCAAATTCAAAAGTGCAAGCCCCAAACCCCCGAACCCGAACTCCAAAACAAATCTTAATAGTACAGAGCCTCTTTTTTATCTGCATTTGCGCAGTAATATGAATGTTCGTTTCGGTTGATGCCTTGGTTCCCTACTAACAGACAGCATGCTATTCCTAAACCTTACCATAACCCTACAAACCTCCGTTACTGTGGCATGCACCTGGACTTTTCCGACTCACTTTTCATTCCCTACTTAAAGCCAGTAAGCCCGCACTCCATTCCGAAACTTCAGTTCCAGGACAAGGGTTTTGGGCTTAGGGTTTCGGATTTAGGGATTAGGTAATTGGAGGGTCGGGGGGACTTGGTAAGTAATTAATAACCCCTATGACCCATATACCCGATTATCACCTATTTACTATGTCCCCATGACCCTCCAATTAGGGGGCTAGATAATTACCAATGTCAGCTTGAAGTCCATTTCAGGTACGCTGTACCAGAAATATACCGGGAGCCTAGGACCATAACATTGGTAAGTATTCCTTTCCAAAAAAAAATCTTGTGTACACCCCAGCGTCCGCTTAATTAACTTTACTTTCAAGTCCAAAACCTCAACTTTAGGTCCCAGGCTCTTAATTTGAGATCCCAAATCCTTAATTTCAGTTCCCCTTAATTTTAGGTCCCAGGTCTTCAGTTCTAAATCCCACATCTTTAGCTATAGGTCCCAAGTCCTTAATTTTAAATCCTTGGACCCTAAAAGTTAAGTACGAGAAGTGCACTTAGAAAAGGAGCAACACGACGGACAGCGCCACTTTTCCCTGAGCCACATACATGTCAAGTCAGCACTGTAGTCTAGGCTACAAACTCCTCATGAGAATGATGGGTAAAACATAGCAGAGGGTCGATGTTTTACAACTCCCCCCTTTTGTAGCTAGAAACAGTGAGACGTCGGGATTTACTGGTTTCAGACGGGTAAGTTGAATCCAAGCTCACGCAGTACCTTGCAATCCAGGTCGAATAAGCCTTAGTGTCCACTTGGCCTAGCCTCCTAGAAACCGTGAACAGGTTTGTCGGAGAGGACACGAGGCGGGGTTTTAGGGTTTTACTCTTTAAGGTCAGGAGAACAGGCCAACGGATGCAATGCAGGAGGGAGCCTCGAACCGAGGTGAAGCTCTCGCTCGCAGAAAGGATCGCGTGCCTGGCAATAAGTTCAGGGGTGATACCGAGGGACGGGACCAAGGTATCGTCCAAGTAGGGTGGAATTAGACCTATACAATGAAGTCGGAACAAACGCAAGGTGAAGTCCAGAGACTGGTAGTACCCTTCAATAGGCTCCTACGGAGTCTGTTCCAGCGAACCTTTGTTCGAACCCTACGGTTTCCCCTTCTCAAAATGATACTCCAGTACCAAGGGCAGCAATAGGAGCACCAGGAAGCTTTGAGTTCCTGATACAGGTCCCTAAGGGTCTCAAATGTCATGGGGAATTCCTCTGGTTCTTGCCATTGCATGCAATGTGGAGGAAACACAAACGCGGACTGATGTATCCTGGTTTTGAGTGTGTGGCAGCTGGCGGCCTGACTCTGGCCTTCTACAGCTACTTGAATACGCAATGCGGGCTCAACCTATGCACAGGGAGCAATATGGACT